TTCTGAGTTTCAAATTTCATCTATCCATGATAGATATCGTGACAAAAACATCCTTGTCTTTTCCCCTAGTCGTGAAACACAGATGAAAGAAAATACGTGGAATGACGAATCGTTGATTAGGACGCGGTGTGTTTCTTTCACGCTCCAATGTAATCTGTTTTAAAAACGCCTGGAAATAATTCAAGCGTGACGCAAGGGGCGTCTGGATTTCAGGACTTCTCGAAATCATAAGTCCCGGGGAAGAGACGTGAAAATTGTGACGAATAGAGTTGGAAAAAATTCAATGAATTTAAAATTATTTTTTCGAATCTGAAACTTGATTGAAAATTTAAGTTTTTAAATTATAGCCAAAAGAAGAAAAGATTTTTAGATTCTTATTTTTAGAGAAATAGAAGAAAATATCAAAATGGAAGTTTAGAATGATTGAGATTTAGTAAAATGGTAGATACTTTAAAGATATGTATACAAATATTGTATAACTTAAAACTTTATTTTGAAACAATTGGCCATATTTTGATAATTTATTTTTATCTACAAAAAAATATAGTATAATTCTTCTCTATTTAAGAATTTCGTAACGAATAGCATAGTTTTTAATTTGCTACGACATTCAACTTCTTACTCGAAATTGTTTACACTAGTTATAAGAGAAAATTTAAGATTAAACTTAAACTTATACAGTTAGATGGAACGGACAAACAAATTTCAATAAACAAGTTTCTCAGGAAACGTAAAGGCAAACAAAGTTGGTCGAAACATGAATCCAGTTTGTGAGTTCATAATCCTTATCATAAACATTAAATTATTATTTCAAGCATTCAGTATTCAACTTCAAGAAATAGATTGTACATAGAATTAAAAAAATTGAGAGAATTAAAAAAAAAAATAAAGAAATCTTTTCTCTCGTTTCTTTAAAATATTAAATGAAATATAAAGTTTTTACAGATTCATGGACTTTAACAATATATTTCTCTTCTTATTACGATTTCCAACGATATAATAAACAGTGAGCAATGTTAACACATATGAAAATGAAATTGTTTTAACTTTCAAAATACATTTTCTCCCGTCCAAGTTAAACGTCGCTCGTCGAGAATCGGTATAGAGACGACATCTGGGTTTCTAGAGCTTTGGTAGAGCGAACGTTCTTCGTGGGCGGGCATTGCTGCCAAAACAAAGCTTTTCTTGGATCAACGGATAAACAAATTTTCGAGAAAATAGCCGAGTTTTCGCGATTCTTCACCCATATGAAAATATTCGACACGTTTTAAACGTTTCATCGTTCACTTGTATCTCTTCATCAAAGTTTCTTTTGTTATTAAATTTTCTTCTTATCGCGTACAACTTCATTCATGTGCTTTCTGATGAAAAATTTTAGAATTATCGACATTCCATTTTTTGTTATGCGATAATTCTTTTGGATATTCAGATAATAGTTTTAAAAGTTTGTTTTCTATTTTTTTGTTTTGTTTTAATCAATTAATATTAAATTTTTTAGGATATCTAAGTTAATAATTTTTAATTTTTATTGTTTGATTTAAGTGTTTTAGTAAATATACTTTTATTTATCATCTTACTATCATTTTTTCTTAAGTATCCTATTCTATTTTTCTATTTTTCTATTTTTTATTTTTACTAAATTATAATATTATATAAATTATAATATTAAATTATAATATTAAATTATTTATATTATTTTCAATTAGAAATTTTGAATTTGATTTTTCTACTATTTCAACAGATTTATATTTAGTTTAAAAGATTTATAAGTATTTATAATCAATTTCAAAATTTATGAATTATGAATCACAGAATTTATGAATTTTCTAAAAGTTAATAAATCTCAAGAGAATAGAGCGTTCCTATTAACCACTGACAAATTTTCACGGAAGAATATCCGATATGATTCTGGAAAATATAACGTATGTCATCTAAATCATCCTTATGATTCGAATATCTTTCTCACGTCGCACGAACACCATTGAACATTGCTTACATAATCAGTCCATTTACGACATATCTCACTCTAAAATATTTATACAATATATAACGCACGTTTATTCTCCTCAAATTTTCAACATTACCCATATTGATACTATAAATCTGCTATAAATGTAAACCCACAACAAACGTATTATTTCTAACTTTGTATAAATGTAATAAACAAAAATAGAAAGAAGAAAAGAAGAAAAAAAAAGAAATCAAATACTCACCGTCATTAGAATCTTTCAGTCAATTGTTTAAAATAGTGAAGAGATCCATTTGAATCACTCGTATTTTATATTCATCACTCGTCTTTATCCACGATTTTGAAAATTCCACTCTCGATACATCAAATTTCGATAAATATTTTCACGAATTAAAGACGAATTCGAAAAATTCGATTTTTTTTTCCTGTAAATTTTTTTAACGTAATAAATATTCCATTACATTTTATACTTTCTTTCTCTTTTTACTTATTGCACAAACTTGAACTTGATCTGAGACTTTTTACAAAGGAAATATTTATCAGTAATATTTATCAATAATTGTTGAGATAATAATTATTAAATAAAATTCGCGATTGAGAGAGATTGAATGGACTGGAGCTGCCATGGACAGCTGCCGGCCAGACACGAAGTTGGCGCGTTTGGCTAAGTTTCGAAAATAGTTCGCACCGGATTCGACGATGGTGCGTCTATTTGTGGCGGAAAAGAACTGGTCAAGCAGTGCTGCCAACGTTTGCGGGCGAAACTCTCTAACGGCCTAATGAGAACCGTTTTCTTTTTCAAAAACATCTAACTCTAGCCTGTATTTCTTTCGAGACGATTTATTCGAATTATGTCCTTTTAAATTTATGTCCTTTGAAATTTTTTCTTTTCATTTTATAAATTCGTTCTATCAAGTCTATTATGTTTCAATTTTTATTTTTTTCCATAAGAATAATCTATTATCTTCAATTTTCCTTTAAATTTTTCTTTTCAAATATAAATTAAATGTTTATTTCACACTATTATACATTATTTATAACTAATCGAATTATAAAGAACTTTTACTCATGATTATTATAATTTAAAGTGAACCTTGTAAATATGGATCCATAATTGAAATCATACCTATATATCAATATGACTGTTTCCAATAAAAATTTATCGCTTATTACGAAATTGATGAGGAACATCTTTGAACAACACTAACATTTACCAACATCGTAATCCGATAATATCATAAATCCTTTACCTTGCTCCACTTCGGCGTTAATGTGAATAGTCCTCAGTCTAAGCTCCTCGTTCTCATAAATCATCCCCCTCGAGGATTTCCGGTCGAGTTTTCTGTTCGGTTTCACGCTGCAATCCCTTCGCCTGGTCCTCAGCATCCCGGCCCCACCAACACCGGCAGTAGTCGTCATCATTTTCATTAATTTCAACAACAAAAATCTCACGATCACAACAACAAAAAAAAAAAAGAAAAAAAAAAAAGAAAAAGAAACGAAAAATATCACTTCAGATAAATTATCTTTTAATTCGTTTAGGTCGTTTATTACGTTTGTCTTATCATCATTGTTTTTCTCGAAATTTGAAATCTAAATTGAGATTAGAATCACTATCCTAAATGCAGTTTTTCTTTAAAGAAACACAAAGGAACACTATGAGAAAATTGCGCTTGATTTTTATTATGTGTGGTTTATTCTCTTTACGATCAGCTGTTAACTTTTTTCCAACAGGATAGTTTGTAATTCTCACTTGATAGCCGTGGACACGGTGGAACGTATTGCGCTATTAAGAAGCGAGTTTAAAGTCATGGGAGAAGCGTTTAATCTCACGTGAAGCTTTTAAAATTGGATTTGCGGCGTTGAACTACCTTCAGATTTTCCCCTTTATGGGCTTCCTTCCTGATTCTTCTTTTTTCGAACTTCTTCCCGAGATTCTCTCTTTTCCTTGATATTTCGCGAAGTTTATATTTTTCTTCTAAATTTATCTCGTCTTCTCTTTCTTCCTTAACAATTAAATACAGATTTTCCTTTCAATTCCAAATCCTTTGTCTCGAAATTTTTTTTCTTCCCTCTTATTCTTTCCAAATTTTCTTTTTCATCCTCAATCCTTCCATCCTTCATCTCAATCGATTAAGAAAGATCTAAGAAAGGAGCTCGCATCGAAAATTTAACGAAAATTTAAGTCATCGTCATTTCCACAATAAAAAATTGGAAACACGGGGCGCGGAAACGCCGCGCTTCCCATCCAGTTCCGGAACGTCCGCGCCTCGCCCAAAAGGATTTGCATCGTCCGTACGTTTATCACGCGCCCCTTCCCCGCTCCTGCAATTTGCCCGCCCATTATTCAACCGTTTATCAGCGTTTTCGACCGTACAGCACTCCTCTCTCCACCTCCCCTTTGTCCTTGTGTATTTCTTTCAATTTATTCGCGCGAGGTTTTATCCGGTCGCGCGATCTTCCTCTTCCGGCTTCTCCCTCTCTCCCTTTGATTTCTTCCTGCCTTCGATTTATCCACGCCGCTGATCCGAATTTATCGCGGCCGAATTTTTTCTCCCATTCTCTCCCAAGGGTCCAACATGTTTCTCCATATAGGCTGCATTGAAATTTCGACGCTGTTTGCCTTCACAGGGA